CAAGTTCAAACCTGAATTCTTATGCCAATTTCCTCTCTGTTTCTTCTTTCAGCCTTTCATGCAGCTTACTCCTTCCTATGGTTAAGCGTCTGCTTAAACAAAACCTTCTTACACAGGCCTTTTCACATGATCTGATCTATATCAGTCCTTTTTTTTTCCCCCTTAGAAATATATATATATTTGTAATTTGGGTGAAAGTTTACAGAGCAAATTCACTTTCCATGATCAGTCCACATACACTTTGTTTCATGACATTGACTACAATTTACCACAATGCAACAGCTTCTCTCCCTCTCTTCTCCCAACTTCCTCCCTATAGTTACCTCTTCCCTGTGTCCTTCCCTCCATGTACTTCTGCCCCCGAGCTATGTCCCTGTGCATACACAGCCCTTCTATTCTCCCATGATTGTTCTCTCCAAGAAGTGTATCTACCTAAAGTAAATGTTCACTTCATATGTCTGTCTTTTGTTTGGCTGGAAGCCACAGGTGTGGGTTCAATTCCAGACCTGAAGGGCAGCTAGGGGCCATAGTCTCAGTGGTTCCATCAGGCTCTATAAGACCAATAAACCTGGTCTCTTTTTTTAATGATTTTGAGTTTTGTTCCACATTGTTCTCCCACTCTATCTATGATCTCCTACATACAACCCTCTGAGTGGTTGACCGTGTTAGCCGGGCACTATCTAGTTCTTCTGGTGTCATAGTCGTATAGGCTGAGGATCACATGGTGTACTAGTCACTTGGACTAATTTTTTCCATGAATCTTTGGTTTTCTTCATTCTTCTTTGCTCTGGATGAGGAGAGACCCATCGTTGCATCTAGATGGCTGCTTGCAAGCTTTTAATATCCCAGTCATTACTTGCCAAAGTAGGAGGTGGAACAATGTTTTGTGTAGTATGTTATGTCAATTGAGCTTGATGTCCCCTGCGACTATGGTCCTGAGCCCACAGATCCAACTATTCACTCCCTCTGGGTAGCTGGCTGTGCCCAAGAAGTGACTACAACCATGTCCCTTGTCAGCTCTATTATACACCTGGAAATTTTTATAGAACATAGCAATACATTTGTAGAAAAATTGCCTGCCAACTCTATACATGGTCTTGGGCACACACATACACACACACTACCCCCACATAGACATACCTAATATTTCAGCCTGTCCACCCATCTATCCACCCGTATATCCATGTATGCCTTCACTGGCAATGCATACTGTATGTGCAAATGGGTTCATCTTTGTTGTCTGTACCTCCCATGTACCTCTCTATGTCTTCCTCTTCCTCAATGCCATGGGGTTGATCACTCACATTTGGTACATTGCTCTTCTCTTCACCCAAATCAATATTTGTCTCTACCTACCTACCTGTGTTCCCTCACCTCCCCTCCCACCCCTGGTAACCAACAAAGAAAATATCCTTCCATATATAAACCTTTCCTTGACTTTTTACAATAATGGGTTAATACAATATTTGTCCTTGTGTGATTGATTTACTTCACTCAGCATAATGTCCTCCAAGTTCATCCACATTATGCGGTGTTTTGCAGATTCTACATTATTCTTTAGGGTTGCATAGTATTTCATTGTATGTATGTACCATGGTTGGGTTATCCCATCTTCAGTTGATGGACACCTAGACTGTTTCCATCTTTTGGCTATTGTAAAATTGTACTGTATTGCAATGAACATGGGTGTCCATGTGTCTATTCTTGTCCTTGCTCTCACATGGTAGCTTTTTTGATACAATTCTAAATCATAGCGTAATCTTTTTGAACACATTTAAAATGACAATTAGGAGTCCTGCATGGCACAAAGATTAAGTGCCCAGCTGCTAACACAAAGTTGCTGGTTCAAATTCACAAACCCATCCAGCAGCTCCATGGGAAAAAAGAGTAAAGAGTACAGCCTAGAAAACTCTATGGGGAAGTTCTACTCTGTCACATGGAGCAGCTGTGACCCAAAAATCAGCTGATCAGCCTCTAACAAGAAGATGACAATTCAACTCAACAATCCAGTACCAACCACACAAGAAATTTAATTTAAATGACAACAATATGAGCAGCTATGACCAAATCTGCCTAGCCAATAGCACTTGCAAGATGTTACAGATTGTAAGACATATCCCCAAAATGGTGAAATCCTGCAGATAGGAAAAGAAGAAGTAAAGAACACTTTATTCACAGATGACATGACCAGAGATGGAATTCTCAAAAAAAGTTATTAGAACTAGTGAGTTTAGCAAAGTCAGGGGATACAAAGTCATCTGGGCCTGGAGTTTTCTTTGTGGAAAGGATTTTAACTACAAATTCAATTTATTTAACAGGCATAGGGCAATTTAGGATTTCTAATTCTTCTTGGTGAGGTTTGGTAGTTTGTATCTTTCAAGGAATTTGTTCATTTCAACTATATATCAAAAAGTTGACATAAAGTTGTTTCTCATTTTCCCTTTTTTATTTTCTAATGTCTGTAGGATCACTCCTTGGAAGGAAGGTTGGGCAATCTACTTCTGTAGTGATACTGCCTCGGAAACCCAAGGAGGGGTCACTATGCATCGGGGCTGACTCGACAGCACATGACGACGACAACAACATAGGATCAGTAGTGATGTTCCCTCTTTCATTCCTGATCATGGTAATTTATGTTTTCTTTCTTTTTCTCCTGATAATTCTGGTAAGATATTTATTGAGGTTTTTTTTTTTTTTTTTTTCCCAAAGAGCCATCTTATGGGTTCATTGATTTTTTTTTTTTTTTCCTATTTTTCTTCTATTTCACTGATTTCTGCTTTGAGCATCATTTTTCTTTCTTCAGCTTAGTTTAGGTTTAATATGCTCTTCTTTTTCTAGTTCATTAAGGAAGAAGCTGAGATCATTGTTTTGAAACCTTTCTTCTTTTCTAATACAGGCACTAATTTCCCCCTACTGAGACTTGTTTTATGGCCCAGAGTATGTTGGTAGATGTTTTGTGTGTTATTGAAAAGAATAGTTATTCTGTTATTTTGGGATGTTCTATTAAATGTCAATTAGATAAAATTGGTTAACTGTTGC